ATTCTAATTTATTCCTGAATACCTGTAAATAATTAGAGTGAACGCATGTTAGAAGAAATAACATTTTGTCTTGTTGCCCATTGATCTCAAGCTCAGTACAGATCTAACAATCTCAAAGTGCTTCATAATTTCATCATACAGCCTATTTGATATTGCTCTGGAAACATCAATCATAAGATAGAAAACATTTTGCAAGAAGGCATAAGCTTAATATATCTAAAAACAAAAGAACTTGTTTGAGAACACAATTTTGGTCAGAACAATTTTACATTGCACAAAAAATTAGGTGCGGGAGCATATTCAGACCTCACACTATAACAAGAATCCACATTTTGTGTTGACTACCATCCAGCTTAAATACTAATTTCAATGTAAGTAAGGTGAAAATGTGGAAAGCTAAAAGTAAAGGTCTGGCAAGTTCATACTGGTACTTCAATCCGTTCCCTTTCTGAACTTGTTGATAAGGGAATGTTGTCTAAAGGGGCAGAAAGCTGAGTACTGTAGCCAGCCCTCCTGAACTCAATATCACGCCTGCGTCCTAACAACTGAAACCCAACAAAAGAATGATCTAAGTGTGCGTCTGTGAGTAAGTAATTGATACACAAAACAGTGTAGAAGCAAAATTATGATTCCCAAGTACAGAGAGCAAGGGTAGATTTTTTTTTACGTTTTCTTCTACAAATGTAAGGATAGAAGGACTTGGGCGTATGGCACGAAATTGTGCATTCTTTGACATTTCAGCATTATCCTTCTCCTCCAGATCCGTCTTTGCTTGACTATTATCTGGACAGAATGCATCCAGAGCAAATTAAGACAAGGCAATCAATTCAGCCGTAGCCATCAAAATGATATAGGTGGGTGATGTTTTTACATGTGCATTTTTAACTCAATTACATGCTTTGGAAGAATACATTTTGTCGTACTAAAAATTTCAATGGTGCTGCAGCTTCAGAACATAGATGAAGTCCAAACTAGCTTTGGCCCCAGTTACTCCTATCTTTCACATCCAACAGCTTTTCACAGGCTCGGCAAAAGATAAAATAAAAGCAATAATAATAATAATAATAATAATAATAATAATAATAATAATAATAATAATAATAATAATAATAAAATAATAATAATAATAATAAAAGTTCAGAACCTATCCTCTAACATCTAATACTAAATTCTTGGATCGAATAATATCTAATGTTTCAACAAATGTCAGGAGCCTGGTGATGATTCAAGCTATAAAGGCTGTAAGAAATACCCTTTCATAGCATGATATGATGTGTATGTCAGCACAGTCATTTGAAAGGGTGATACCAAACATAATGGTGACACAGAAAAAAAAAAATAATAATAACAATAAATGTTCATGAAACACCAAGAGAGCTATTAGACAAACCAAGGTACTTCCTTCCATGCTCTCAATTATTTTGTTTCAAATACAGATATAAATGCTGGAATTGTCAGCAGACGAAACATCTTCATTCTTATGACCTTAACCGGCTTTTCTCGGAAAAAATAAATGAGCCTTGTTAGACAAAACTTCAAAAGTTTGTACATCTATCTGATGACAGATGACGTGAGTACAAACAAAAATAAGGATGACATGAAAACAAGCACTGGCAAGTCAAGAGATGTAAGAGGTGGTTTCTTTTGTGCTGAGCAGCAGCAATGAAAAACTAAAAGATGATTCAAATATATTCAGTGGTCAATACAATAGAAAATTGAACTAGGTATACTCATGCACGTGAGACAAAAAAACAAAGTCACAAACCACTGTGAGACAAAAAAAACAAAGTCCATAAGCCAACTTTGCTACATCATTCATAAATCCTTCTCTGTGGAGTGACGGGGCTGCTGGCTAATATTTCATAATATATGCACGAGGCAGCAAAACAAGTTATTACCTTACCTACCGATCAACTGACATGACAACATGCTAATACACCAAATTGTTCTGACAATGAATTGCTTGAGCAAAGTGAAGATAGGTAACCCTCTAATAGCCATTTATGTATATTTTCAGAATCTAGACCAGTATTATAGTAGCCTGAATAAATCACAATTGAAAACTTCAGGTCCTCTGGAATTGAAACTAAAGAGGATCATATTTGTTTGTTAATCTTCGTATCTCAAGCCTCACGAAAATTGAAACTATACAAACAAGTGAACAACGAAAAGCTTACTGTAAAAAGTCTGCATTTACTTTTAGCAAATCCACTGTAACCTATCTACTACTGGAAACCCCAAATCCAGGAAAGAAAAACAGATTTAGAATTCTGGAGAGACTATGAACAACCAAAATGCTAAATTATACGATGAAACGAAAAAAGAAACGGATACTCAGAAGAAAACTCTACTGACCATCATTAGCTATCCCATCATTTATTCTCTTGTTGGATGTGTCATTAGGATCTATCCTGATAACTCGTTTTTTCTTCTTTGGCTGGAGTGTGTCCGTCAAGTCTGAGCCACTAACCAAGCTTTTCTTGACACGATCATTTTTCTTGTCTGGTTTATCAGCAGCCCCACCTGCATATGATCTCTGGTTCAGATCCTTAGCTGTCCTCAGTGATATTTTTCTCTTATCGCTGGTATTCAGTGTTCCACTTCCTAAGCCATTCCCTCGAACACGTTTCCATCTATCTTCACCCTCAGCATTGCCAGCTCGAATTTTCCTATCACGCAGTTCATTTCCTTTAAATGTACCATGTCCCATCAATGATGCGCTTCGGAAAGTACTTTTTGATTCACCACTTTTTCCTCTTGAAAACTTTTTTTCACCTCTATCCAAATGCAAACCTGGGACACTGTGCTTAGATTTAGAAACGGGTTTTTTACGAAAACCATCAACCACTCTATCCTCAACTATTCCGGGATCAGCAAAAGCCCTCTTCCTCTTCCGACCTGAGTTCATATCACTAACCGGTTCAAAACCTCGACTTCCGTTCTTAAAATCCATCTTCTTCCTGATACGCCTTTCACCGGATTTCTCTTTCGAATCGACAGGAAAAACGGGACCATTTTCGTTTACTCTGCTTCTCATCTTTCCGCTCTTGCTAACCATTTTCGACTCCGTGGTTCTACCACCATCCATGGAAACTCTGGATTTTTGGGCTGTACCGAAATTACTATTTCTCCTGGGGTTTAGGGTTTTAGCATCAGCCGAAGCTTTCGGGTTCCCTAGCGCAGCAACTCGCGGTTTTCTGCTGGCTTTACCGGCGCCTCCATTGGTTGAGCTCAGAAGCCCAGACATTGCTGAGAAAGAACAAAAAACAGATGTCAAAGAAACTCATGTGTCATGGCCCGGCCGCACTCTACACATGTTCCCTCGTTTGAGTCCATGGCATAAATGAGAAAGCGTCACGCAAGAAATATCACAGCAAAGTTCATAAAAGAAGAGAAGAAGTCGAAGTAGCACATACCTTAAAGGCTTACTGTGAATGATACTGTAATTTAGTGCAGGTTAGGTGTTTGATGAATTGCTTGCTTCCATTTACCGCAGGATAGTGAACGGTTAGAGGGAAAATTATACCTAGGTCAATTATGGAGTCGTATAACGAATTTTAAAAATCATTGGCGTGATTGTTTATATTTTCTACAGTAAATATTTCACTCAAAACTCAAATTTAACTCAACTTTAACTCAACTCCATTATCTTCAATATTATCAATATAATTAAATAATATCAAACAATCATTATTACACATCACATCAACTTTAATTCACTATTCACACACTCACATAATTTTAACTAACCATCACTTCCAATCATTTTCTCCTACTTTTACATCAAATCAACTTTAATTATTTTAATTTAAATATTATTTTAATATATCCATTAACAACTAACCATACTACTTTTTTTCAAACTTAACTATAGTTCAAAAAAAACTAGTTTTTTACTAGTTGAATTCATATCCAATCACCCCCTAAAGTTTACATTAAAAAATGAACAATTCAATTCAAAATTTATACATCATATTATTATTTTCTCTTTATATAAATGTTTACCACATAAATAAATACAAATATAATAATAATAATAATAAAAAATACATCATATTATTATTTTCTCTTTATATAAATGTTTACCACATAAATAAATACAAATATAATAATAATAAAAAAAATATAAATATATTTTTATTTTAAAGTTATAAAAAAGAAATACATAGGCATTTCGCCTCCATATGTTTTCATTCATAAATTATTATGCGTGTGTCGGTCTAAACTTTTTACAAGTTGAAATTATTATTTAATCTTTGGTTTAAGTCAGATTTATGAGCCAATGTTATACGTTTCGAGTGATGTCAATAGTTTTTTCTTTAACTATATTAAAATATTTGGCCTTGGATGATTTTTTTTTTTTTTTAATTGACAAAAACTCTAGCAACCAAAGCAGTACTAAGGTGCAACTGAAATTCTAGCAACCATCGGGGTACTGCCCCTCAGGTGCAACTGGTTGTCTACTTAGCCCCTCGGAGTACTGCCCCTCAGGGTACTAGCTAGCATACGACATGTCTGATCTGGGAACAACTACAAACATAGTTGTTCGTAAAAACTAAAAACTGGAAACACATAATTCATGCAAATAACGGCAAACAACAATATCACAGTGTTTAATCAGAAGGATGTACTAGATAGACTTCCCCACCTGAATGATCTGACTCTGCTAAATGGATGAGTTGTCGCTTGTGTGGAAACTCGAGGGCTCGACTCCTTGAAATCTACATAAATTAAACGATACTCGATAAATAACTAATTCTGACTCGGCAAATTACATTTACCAATTGAAGGATTTTCTAGCTTAAGGTTTATGACTTATAGACTTTCTGCTCTTTCTTAGATATTGGAACTCTCGACTCGGACTCTTTAAGAATTCTCGAAATTAACTGTTTAAAATTTAATATTAGCCTCGGCTCGAAAAATCATTTTAGGACTCGGGATGTTTCATAAAAATGCTTAAAAATAGCTTGGGATACTCTGAACATGTCAAAATAATAAAAATGTGTTCGGGCTTGACACAGGCTCGGTTCTGGCTCGGTCGGTCTAGTTCGGTAGCTAGCCAGTGGCTCAGGCCAAGTCCGCGGATAGCTCCAGGTGCACCTGGTGCGGCGGCTTGCCTCGGCCCTGCACTCGATTTGGTTGCTGGTAGCTCACGTGCCCTCAGGCACGGCCACGGTTGCTGCTAGCACTGGTACTGGACGCGGGGAGAATGTCGAGCGGGTGTTGGGCTGCGGGAGGATACCTAGGCACGGACGGGCTGTTGGCAACAGGGGGCCGCACAGGCTACTGACACGTGGGCCTCACGGCACGCGATGTACACGGCAAGCATATGTCCCGCCTGTGTACGGGCGCGCCTGCGAGCTCGCGGCAGCAGTCCTGGCAACACCCGGCCGCTATGACCCGACACCGAACTTCGGCTTATCCCAACAACTACCTCAACCTTTACGACACCTCTTATGGCCAACACATAAATATATTTTAGAAGTTACTGTGTGGTTTTAAACATGAAATAACAGTCTCATTTTATATTAAATAAAATCCATTTTAACAATTATTCTAAGACATTTGAACTCCACTTTAATCATAAAACCGCAGCATCTTAACTTATACTTTCGAAACCCGGCAAGGCTCCGAACATACCAACATAATCCCGTCTTATCATTTAACTTTGAATTTAAAAATCCCGACCCTTATATTCTTTAAAAATAATCGATTTTAGAGGCTAATATACGTCCGAAGTCGAGAATTCAACATCAACTCAATAACGCGAAATCTCAATCTCTTATCTCATGCATATATCAAAATATAACGCGTCTCATCGCCATGAACCTCAAATAATTAAAATCCTTCAGATTAAACTCTAAATATTCGAAGAAGGATAAACCGTATACCTCCTTCGGGATATCAAACCAACCGGCTGAAGAAAAACGGATGAAAGGTCTCGGTTCTACTCGCTGCTCTCACTCGCGTATTAAAGCTCTCGGCTGCTGCTTGGAGTCATCGGGAAGAATTTCTCGGTCGAAACTCACGAACCGGGGTTGTTCGCTGAAAAGGAAACTGATTTGCCGCTATTTCGAGGTCTTCGGCTGCTCGATAAAAGCCTCAAACGGCTTCCGTTATACTCGCACGGGCCCAAAAGGGCTGTCCTTGCTGCTCGAGCCGCTAAACGAAGGCCGACGGGGGTGCCGCTGCAAACGGGGCGCACGGCGGTGGAGTTCTCTTCTCCGGCAGAACTTAGAGTGGACAGTCGGCTAAAGTTCCTGCTCGTCTGCTCTATGAAGGGCTGAGATCGAATAGGGAGTGGCCTCGGTTGTTGAGAATCGAACTCGGTCGAAGGGTTCTCTGTTAGAATTGGATTTAACTTTATTCGAAATAAATCGATTAATCCCAAGAGCGTTCATATTGAATAATCGAGAATCATAACCGAGCGAAAGCGTACCTGATGGATTCATGTTGATTGCTTTCTTTATAACTCAAAATTATATTTGGTATTTTGAAAATCTTCCAAAATACCGTGATCCTTATTTTCTTCTTCTTTTCCTTCCTTTTTAACGTATGAAAGAAAGAAAAATGGCTTTAAGAAATGATGCCCCTTCCCCTGATATTTATTGACGGGTGTTACCTGATGGATTCAATACAAAAGTGGCAACTACAACAATCAATGACAACTACCTCACCTAATGTAGTGTCGGCTTGAACTATCTCACCTAATGTAGTGTCATCAACTTTATTTTATTTTATTCTTTATGAGTTATCTTAATGGGCTTCACTTTGTTTCACGGCTTTTGGGACTCCACCCGTAAATAATTTTGACCAAATTATATGTTATTTAGGTCCTTAAGTTTAATATTATTATTTGTTACATCACCAAATAATAATATTACCGGGTGTCCACATTTAATTATTCCACAATCCAAATTAAGTTCCTTAGCCAATGTACAATAATTTGATCACTTAATTTGGCTAAACAATATATATAATGAGCCAATGTATCAATTACACATATTTAATCCCAAAATAGATCTAACATTCTCACGCACGGCTGAAGGCGAGGTACTCCGGCATAGTTCGGGCGGTCAAAGGCTGAGAAGGGTCGGCGATGGCTTCCCGACAGTTGCTGCAAATTCAGCTCTCTTGGTTATGTTCGATCGCCGCCTGAGGGAGATGACGAGGTTGATGCTGCTCGTCGGACAGCGAGGTGGGTTGCGGCCAATTTGAACGAAAAGAAATATTCTGATTCTTTTCTCCCTGTTTTTTTTCTTTCCCGCTGCTCTGAAGTTCTTATCTGGGTTGTGAGAGAGACGTGCGTTTGGGAAAAAATATTTGCTCTCTTACTTTGTTGATACTCTGTACGCACAGGATGAAGGAAAATAGCTGGGAAACAAAGATAACATGACTTGGAGAATATATATATCTTATCTATACTCTTGGAAAATGCTCTCTTACTTTGCCATTGGGTTCACTTTTGATTTTTTGTTCCTTATTGACGTTTTTTCTATGGCCTTAAATGAGAAGAGTGGATTACCCCTCAGTTGACTTTACTGTTGAGTACCACCTCTCACACACAACTATCACCGCCTCTCAAACGCAACATCACCTCAAAGACCAAATGCAAACTTGGAAAAACAGATCCTCTCCCATGCGGACACTCTCAGTCACAACTCAGAAATCCAATATCTCTCCTCCAACACCAACGATTACATAGGCTCCCGGCGCCGACGATAGCGTGGCGTGGCGGATAGAACCAGAGCTGCTCGTGGCTACACGGTCGGTTGGAGAAGATATAATAAAGGCGACTGAGATGATTAAAGCAACTGTAATATCCCACATCGGTTGTTAAGGAGAACGAAACATGCCTTATAAGAGGGTGTGGATACCTTAACTTGTAGGACGCGTTTTAGTGAGCTAGCTCCCAAAGGCAAAACCATGCGGATTGTAATATTCCACATCGGTTGTTAAGGAGAACGAAACATGCCTTATAAGAGGGTGTGGATACCTTAACATGTTTTGGTGAGCTAGCTCCCAAAGGCAAAACCGTACGGGTGAGCAGGCCCAAAGCGGACAATATTCTATAGCGGATGGACTGGGCTGTTACAGATGGTATCAGAGCCAGTACCCGGACTAGTGTGCCAGCAAGGACGCTGGGTCCCCAAGGGGGGTGGATTGTAATATCCCACATCGGTTGTTAAGGAGAACGAAACATGCCTTATAAGAGGGTGTGGATACCTTAACTTGTAGGACGCGTTTTGGTGAGCTAGCTCCCAAAGGCAAAACCGTGGGTGAGCAGGCCCAAAGCGGACAATATTCTACAGCGGATGGACTGGGCTGTTACAGCAACGATCGAGGACAACTTTTGGGCAGGACCGGTCAGATATGGCCCTAACGGGCAGCAGGGACCCCTCATCTGTGGGAAGCAATCAGCGATGTCGGCGTCACTTATAACGGCAGCGGCGTCCTCGGCGCGGACTCACCATTGTCAGATTAATTTTTCCGGTACATTTGAGTGTTTGTGTTTGTTTACTTATTCTGCTTGGAAATTCGTTATTTTGATCTTTGCAAGTTCGGTTTGCATTTTAGGTTGTCCGTATACTTTTTGAGTGGAGACTAGGGTTTTTGAACATAGACTTGTCCTTATGGATTAATACTTTAGTGCCAAAATTAGGAATTTTTGGTGAGCAGCTTGATGTATGCCGACTTTATTTTTGGACCGTTTTGTTATCTTGCGTGGATACAACAACCTGATTTTTACATCTAAAATGTATATGTACATTTTAAGGGTTTTTAGATCGTTTTGATTGTAAATGACTTGGTGTTACATATGAGACATACTACATATTGTGTTTGGCAGAAAATTTCATTGTTAATGAATAAGTGATATTGTAGCTTAGTGTTTATTTAGTTTATTTTTGTTGTGGATTATTTTGTGGAAGATTTTGTTAATTGGTTTTAAGTGCTTGTTGTGGGTAGATCTTGAAAGCACAAAAATTTTCCTTTCTTTTTTTCATTTGTTTTCTGTTGTCCTACGCACGACATCCAGATCTTGCAGATAGCAGCAACTCGCCAATCGAGGCACCCGGTGGCTGGTCGGGTTGCTAACCCTGGCGAGGCCTGATCAAGATCAACCACTCAAAACCAATTGGCAAAGCAATTAGATATGAAAGAGAAAGAGGAGAAGACCCTGGAATCAGTGGCATAGATACACAGATCTGACGGTCACCAATGCGTTCAACCCTTATCTGCTTGCAGAAGCATGCCCTCGGATGCGTGGAGAAGCACGCCTGGAGCAAAGAGACAACTTTAGTGTTAGCGTCTCCATGGGCTGCTCAAGGCCATCTGAGGTGAATTTCAGTTTTTACTTCTTTTTTTTTTTTTATGTATGAGTTTTATTTTTTTCTAACTATATTATGAAGCATGGTACTATAATTATTTAGGTTTGTCTGGAGTTGGTCCTAAAGGACTACGATTTGGAAAGCTCTACACTATTTACAAAGTCTGGTATCATTAGCATAGTGCCATTTTGCAAGGTACGTGCAAAAAATTATGTAGAAGTATGGATTGAGTTTTGTTCTTGAAATGAAGGGTTCACAACATTTTTCTTATACTTTTTGTCAATGTAAATAGCTTTCCGGTACTTGGGCAGATAATATGTTCTTGAGCAACAACAACAACAACAACATACCCAGTATATTCCCAACAGATTGGGGTCTGAGGGGTCAATTGTACGCAGACCTTACCCTTGTAATTATACAAGGAGGTTGTTTCCGTAGCGACCCAAGGTGCATTGCGCCGTTTGATATATTTTTTTTTTCCTAGAAACTTCACTAATAGAAGAAGCACTAGAATTTAATTGAGCCATTTTGATCTAGTCCATTATTAGCACTATGCCAGGAGAATTGTCAACAATGACTCTTCCAGCTCCATTTGCAATGGATAAATAATATGTTCTTGAGCAAACCATAAAAATAAAAATTCATAAATGTGAGGAATCAAAATATGTGCGATTTACCACACGAGGGGCTTGAAACTTGCAGAGAAATAATGGCCGTGAAAATTAATGGAGTGTTTTATAGTGATGCATAATACAGGTCAATAAAGAAAGGAGTAAAACTTTGTATATAAAACATGCTTATATCAGGGATGAATTGTGTCTTCAGTACAAAATTTCAACCTATGAAAGCAGGTTCGATGAGTATCTGCAGCCACTAAATACTTTTTAGTTAGTCCACTACTGAAACAGTCTAATGAAGAAGATTCACAACTGGATTCTAATAAATGGATAACTGAAACTAGAATTATATATAGTGCGTTTTTGCCCTTATAAAACTAAAATAATCTTCTAAGTGCTTCTTTTCATATCATGATTTCGTACAGTTGCTACCTGTTGAGGGTTGTGCTGCTCTTGGAAAATTGTTGAAGCCTCAAGATTGTGTTGCCCATATCCTCCCTGTAATTGTCAACTTCTCTCAGGTACATTTTCAATCTCTAGCTACATTGCTGGTTGTTTTAGTTATAATCCCTATCCATGCTATTACATCACTTTTCATTTGTCATTTTCTTATTTATTATGGTTTCTCTATTTGAATATTTTTCTTGCTTTTTTGTCGAATTAAGTTATTCCTGATGCATTTCTTCTCATTATTAGATGTAAATTGAGACGTTATACGAGGGGCTGGGAGAGACCTGAATTTGAACACAGCTATGAGAGCGGCCGGAAGCCTGACTGCGTAGAGTACGAATCCGAGTATGGATTATTGAGATAGAGAGTTTGAAGGTGGCTGATGATGTTTGGGTTGGAGCTGCCGTTAGCCTGAAGGTACTTTGGTATTCTTTATCATATTTGGCAAATTTGTAATGCCTTTTAGGTTTATGGGTTTAATAATTTATGATTATAAGGTCACAATTGCTGCACATGGTGTGAAGCTGTAAATTCCCAATGGTGTTGTGATTGCCAACAAGGTAACATGCTATGGAGACAAAAGATTGGAGAACAAGCTTTTCAAGGAGCTAGGGATACGTGTGTCCTAAATCTGGAGATGAAGTTGGAGGTTTTATTATATAAGTTTAATTTTTTACTGAAATACTATGTCAAAATTCAACTTTAATTACCATTTCTGATGTGGACGACTGGTGCAGTTCATTATGTGGCCACTTTGATGGATAGGACTCAATTTCATTCTAGCCTCATACCTCTCAAATTTAATTTTTGTCAAGGTACGTTTACAATCATTTGTTCAAACATTTTGAAGTTCATTACTAAAAAGGAAAATATTTGACTGTTTGTTATGTCTTCTAGAGAGATATAGAGAGAGATGGGCCCGGAGCTTGTTGAGGCGATCAGGGGCTTTGAGTATGGCATAGTTAAGGCGCCATTAGGTCTTGATATTTTGAGCCCGGAGCTTGTTGTAGTTGTTGCCAATGCTTGAGGATTTGGTCTTCTCAGAGGCCCTGATCGGGTTAGCTTTTTTAACCGTTTATTGTTCCTTCTCTCTCTCTTATGTTCATGTTGTTGCCTTGCCTTTTTTGGGTTGAAAAGTGTGATTTAGCGTTGCCAATTAATTATTTTGTGGTCATGGTAAGAAAAGTCATCAGGCCAAGTGTGAATGGCATTTTGAGATAGTTTTTTGTGAATATCGTTGAAATTGTGATCTTCTGTGTGGGTGTCAATATCAGGCCAAGTTTGAATTGCATTTTGAGATGGTTGATTGTGAATATTGTTGAAATTGTGATCTTCTGTGTGGGTGTCAATTGAGATTTTTATACTTGGAGAAGCATTTTGATGTGGAGATGCTGAAGCATTACTTTCTTTCTTTAATTCTTTCAATATAGCAATATATTTTCCCTTTCGAGTGCTCTATTGTTACCATAAATCAATTGTTGCATCATGGTTTTAGTGCAATGAACTCCAATACAAGTTTTGGTGCTATCTTATCTTTTACATTTTAACCTATCTTCTGCATGAATGTACAGGAATGCAAGGTTTTTCAATCCGTGGGACCGGTAGTGTTGTAGGCTCAACTCGGATGGACCACTCTATTGTCGTATTGCCAAAGCAAAGGAGTCAGTCGCACAAAGTGCCTCCTCAACCTTGAGGTGGGCCTGCGCGCACCTTGAGGTAGCCAGTCTGGGAAAGCAATAGGCGAGTTTTTTGTTGTGTTACATCTTATCTTACAATATTATCCCCTGCTTGGGCTAGATTAGTGGATGAGTGCCTTAGGTGCCATCATTACTTTTCGAAGGCAATTATTTTATAATCCGATCAAAAGAGAGGGTAAACAAAACAATTTAGAATACTTTAGGCATTATATAAACTTAGTCTTCCATTCATCTGCCATCAATTATTCGTGTCGCTTATTCAATTGGAACTTTATTTTTGTGCTATTGTATTCTCTAAGTTTGCAAAATCGGAATATTATTCTGTTGGACTGAGTTGGGGTTTAGCGTGTGAGAAAAATTGAGGAGCCATTGGTATGTTTAAACAACATTTGGATTTTACCATCCCTCACTTATCTTGTTTATATTATACGTAGCAAGTACGAGTACAATCTGTGCATATCTAGCCAACGAAGCCCAAGGTAGAGTAATTATTGAAAAAAGAGTTCTTGCGCGCCGTGATAACCCTTTCAAGATCTCCGCCCGCAGCCTCACCTTAGGCGTGCGTATGTCCTCATCTAAACCCTTAATTTGCAGGGTCCATAATTAAATTTTTCCCTTAGGTCTTCGTTCTGCAAATCATTATTTTAATTTTGAAGAGCTTAATTTTTTTGGAAAATCAACCAGTAGGGCGCCCTTGACTGTCCCACAGTATAAAAAAAATTCAAATAAAAAATTTCTAAATTTGCTCTTTATGTGCAGGTCCGGCTAAACGATTATGCAAGCGTTGAACTTCTTCATGAAAATATATGACCTTCTTCTCTGGTTCTCTCTTAACGGGGTGCGACAGAACTTGCGGAACAGGTCCGCAAGTTTTTGTCGCGCCCTCTTTGGAGAGAAATTTGAGTATGTGGTGCGGTGTGGCCTGTGGCAACATAGATATGCCAATATGAACTGATTTAGGAGAACAAATATTCAGTTCATGAAATGCTTTTCCATGCCTCAAAGGTTGACAAGTGTCCACAACTTACTACGTTTCGGCCATTTCCTTCGACTCAATTCTTCAATACTTATTTTATCTTTTTTTCCAAAAAAAATTAATTGGGCAAAACAACAACGTTTAAATGAGTTTCCTCAACTCTTAGGATAAACTATGAGACACTCGTATTCTTACACTGTTTCTTCAATCATCTCTAGGGACAAATTAAACTGTCTGGTGCGGTATGGCATGTTACAACTCAGATATGCCAATATCAGGTTATTTAGGAGAAAAATAATTCTTTTCGTGAGATACTTTTCCATGACTTATCTCCATGGATTTGCTGTTGGCTTAAGCAGTGTGTTTGGGTTGGGTTATAGTCCTCAAAATGGACTGTATGTTACGCCCACAGGTAAATTAAATTTTTCTTTTATGCCTCGACTATTCTAACAAATTTTTGGGTTTACTTTTGTTCACCTCTTTGGAAGGTAATTAACTATTAATTATACTCTGTCTCTCTCTCTCTCTCTCTCTCTCTCTCTCTCTCTCTTTTGTTTACCAAAATGACAGAGATAACTATTATAAAGAACTCAAATCGTACATAGTTCGAATACAACCATAACAATCCCGTAAAAAGAAAAATGAGAGACACGCTCAAGGCGGTCTAGAGCCTCAACTAAAAATATAACTGATTGTACCCTCTAAAAATCCTATGAACAAAGTCCAAAGAATGGAATATGCAAAGCCTAGCCAAATATCCCATTCCCATACAAAAACAGAGAAGACAGCAAAGAGGAAAAAAGTTAAAAACCAAAGGAAACAACATGATATTTCAAACTAAGAAATTAAGATATTGAAGAGAATTCCAACCAGTCTTTCTCTATTTTTTCAAAATTATGCTGCATTTGCCACTAATTAATTAATTGCAGGAATATGTCGTTGTCCCAATAATTAAATTCTTATAATCATCAAATGCAACATAAGATTAATACTTTTAGTGAGAGGCTAATACTGAATAGCAACCGATTATTTCAATTTTCAATTCTAACAAAGTTCAACTTCCGTGAAGTATTAAATGCGTATTTAACAAATTATTTATAGCTTTATAGAATCTACAATCAATGCTATTATTCATGATGCAAATATAAAGTTGTATATAATAAAAAAGTTGTATATAAGTCACCTGGCATTTGTTCTTTTTTCGGTTTTTTTAAAAGGAAAAGCCATCACCCAAACTTTTTTGAGAACAAGGTTCAAACATAACTTGATCTTCTCAATTGGTAACATTTCAAACAATGTTAACGTAGCAGGCATAATATATGTACAGAGCTTCAACAACTGAAGTGCAACAATTGCCTAGAAAGTTGTATTATGAGACCATTATAGTGAAAGCTTATTTGGTTATCATCCAGTATTAAGATTCGACATGAAATCAACTGATCAATGCAATTAATGACAAAATTTAACTATATTTCTAGGCTAAATTTGAGTCCGCCGTGCGTGCACGGCGTGAGACTACTAGTATATATATATATGAGGAGTTTGATACTACTTGTCTTCTTTAGGAGAGAGAAATAAATTTCCCTATTCACATAAGGCTAGTTGGCGTGATAAAGGGCTGAAAGTCGGTTCTTAAGAGCATCTCCATTGGTATCTTGTCCATTTTGAGTTGCATGGCATGAAAGAAGGAGATTAAACAATTGTGTCTCCAATGGTTAATTTTAAAAATGGTTTAATTTGACATGTGTAAATTTATAATTGGTTGAAAAGAAAAAATAAATTGAATAAATAATATAATATGTAATAGAAGTTATCTAGAAGTACTTCTACATCTAGAAAGACTTCTAAAATTTTTTTACGCCACGTAGGTTTTCTTGTGTCATGTGGCAACAAAATGAGGCAATCCAAATGCCATTGGAGATGCTCTAAGGCTGACCAAATCAACAGGACAATGCCCATTTTGCTAAGGTGATTATTTGATTTTAAATCAAATAATTTGGACCCATAATTACAAATATTTAAGCGGCTCATATACTTCACCACGGCCGAAAATATAAACTTATGAAGGTCGAAAAATATAGCTTAAATGTTGTCCTCGACAAATTCTAAGAAGTCGAGAAATAATAAATTCGACGATACCGAAAATGGCTGGAATAATCGGCGACTGCTAAACTGAGAAATCTAGTAATCTCGGCTAATCTTTCTAAATAATTTAAATAGGCGAAAATGTCTAAGTAAATTAATTATCTCAAACGATTAAATTAGACACTCACATCTAATTAATTCGAAAACTTGTCGAGCTCAGAAAATAAAATGTAAGTAAATGCATAATATTATAAATAAATAAATAAATAATCGAGATGTCTTCTAATATTCGACTGGGGCGCTACAAAAATAATATCAAGAATAAAGAATACTCATAAAAAAAATACGTGGCAGCTCTTCAAGAAAATAAATATTAGCGTTGATCCAACGAGCTATGATTCAGTACAAGTATAATTTATAATATTTTGTCACTCTTTTTTGACATTTTTTTAGAACAACAAAAGAAAAAAAAAAAAAACACAAATTGCTTCTAGACATTTACTGTTGAAGAATTATTTACGAATATATTTTTCCATTCAATCCAAGTGGATAAAAGGCCATCAATTTAAGAATTGCAATCCATTCTACTATTGGAGATAGCTCTAAGACATGAACCTGTTGGGGATCCTACCATAATAAAGTGCATTTTATAACTAGCAAAATGAGTACCCTATGCTATGACCATTGGTTTATTTTGAAGCCAGGGTGGAACCTAATTTCGTGTGTTTATAAGTCAAAAATACATTTACGTGAAATAAATATTATTTAGTCAGATAAAGAATAAGTAGACGTGCATTATCACGCGGGAAACCCAAAATATTCTAAAGTGCATGCATATCTCTATTTTATAGTGTATTTGATCGAGACGTTATTTTATCATTATGATATAAGAATAACTTTAGTCAAATAAGATAACATAAGTTTGTATGTGTCCTTTAATATTTAAATGCATAGTTATACTTTATTTTTGCCTCATTAATTATATAATTAATACCGGGGACCACCATGTAGGAAAATTCATTTACACTGTTTGNATTAGGTTCCAGCCCCACTATACAGTATACCTATACAGAGTTGCAGTCAGTCCTAAGCCCTAAGCCCTGTCCACTAGGCCTTCGGGAGTTAAAGCAGGAACTCGCGCTCAGCACGGTCTCAGGAAATGGTCCTATCTGTACACTCTTGGGCACCACCGGTCCGACCACTTCAAGAGGTGATTATCAGGTAACAGTCGCCATAAAGGCCGCCCACAGGGTTCCCCCCTCCCAGGTT